AGGGAGGCTTCATGAAAGAGCTCCACACTCACATGTGGTGTTCATGAGAGCAGCAAAGGGGAGTGAGCCATGCCTGCAGCCTCCTGACCCACCCTGGCCAGTATCCCCTTCAGGCAGCTCCTCACACAGTCAGCCCTGCTCACAGTCAGCCCCTTGCCCTGGGGACACTCACAGCGCTAGCACCTATTGGCTCTGTGCTTGGTTCTCGACTGAGCTTTCCTGGGTGATGTCTCCTCCCACAATATCCCAGGACCACAGGAGCTCAGGATTTGGAGAACCGTAGACATCTGGTGAGCGTGGGTGGTGGGATAACACCCTTCGGGTGCCTGTGGGAGACTGAACTGAACAGGTGGAAACTCCCTGAGCTGAGACAGCACTAATGACAGCACTGTGTATTGCCATGCTGGGACATGTGTGTTTATAGGCACATGCAAAAAATGGCCTGAAAGATACATGGTTCACTACAGGGTAATGTAGTAAACACAGTTTTCTAATTGCTTCTGGGGAGAGCTCTGGAACTGCAGGTGGTGGTCAAGGGGAGTTTCACTGTATCAATTATTATATTTAATTATTTTAGGACAAGAATGTGACTGATGCAATGTAATGGAAATTATGTGAGAAAGAGCCTGGGCAAAATATAAAATCCTAACTATGGTTTTCATTGGATGGGGGAATTGTAAATATTAAATTATTTTTTCAATGCCTTTCTGTATGCCCCACTTTTCTACAGTAGCACTATAACAGAATTTGCTGTGATGCTAGAAATGGTCTCTGTCCTTGCTATCCCCACACAGCAGCCCTGGCCATGTGTGGACACTGAGGACTTGGAATGTGGCCAGTGTGATTGAGGGGCTAAATTTTAAATTGTATTTAATTTTAGTTAATTAGAAGTTGAACAACCACACGTAGCTCATGGCTACTATCCTGGACAGTGCAGTTCTATAACGCACCCATACAACTCTGTTGCCTTATTCTCAAGGGTTATTTTTCCATTTAAAAAACTGAAGTGTAACAAATACAATAAAGGGCACAGATCTTAAGTAAATTTTTACATATGTATACAGCCAAGTGATCAGTTCTCGAATCAAGATCTGGATCATTTCCAGCTCTTCAGAAGGTGCCTTTGAGTTCAAAGCCAGATGTGATGGTGAATGCTTATAATCCCGGCATTCTGGAAGGCTGAGGCAGGATGATTGCAAGTTCCAGCCCACCTTAGGCAGCCCAGAGCTCTGGTGAGACCATGTCTCAAAATAAAAAACAAAAAAAGACTGGGAATATAGCTCAGTGCAGAGGCTTTGGGTTCAATCTCCAGCATGGAAAAAAAAAAGAATTCAATAAATGTTGGGTGTCCTCGGTATTATTTATATTAATATTAGGTGGCAGTCATTAGAATACTTAGTCTAGATGTATAATAAAATATTTTATTAAAAAGCATTTGAGGGACTAGGGAGGCAGCTCAGTGGTTCAGCACCTGCCTAGCATTCATGAGACCCTGGGTTTGATCTCCAGCACCACACACACATTGCTTTTATGTTCCCATTCCAACACTGATCAATTTTTACGAAGTTCCTCTCTAATTTCTGCAATCATGGCAGTTTTTCTCTCAAGTGGCTGGATGCTTTCAATGGCTTTTAGACTCAATTTGAGGACCAGTTTGCTAGTGTTGCTAAGAGAAAATGCATCTAATTTGCCAAAACTAAATTAACTCCTAATACACAAGAGGATAAGCCTAAGCCATAAACAGTTGATAAAAATATAAACACTTTTATTCTCCTTGTTCCATGTGGACTTAAACTTAATTATTATACTTACATTCACATGTCCAAACAAAGGAGACACAATTAGCACAATTTTTAAAGTCCTATCATCTTACGATTACTTATTCAACCAAGGGAAAATACAAAGTCTTTCCAACTAATTTAACCCAACAAGTTGTTTTTTTCTACCCAGCATGAGGTCTTTAAATGGCTTTTAAAAGAGAAAATCCATATCAAGTCTCCTTTGGAACACTGGTTATATTTTGAGCTAAACGCTAATATTGCAAGGCATTTTCTAATCCAACGTCTACGCTAGTCACAGCAGATCTTTAATTTTCAATATAACATTACTTCCTTTTGAGCCCTAAGGGAAATTCTCATCATTGAACATATACGTGTGGTGGGTGTGTTTCAAATGCAATCAGTTAATTGACATCTTACAACTGAAATGCCTCTGCTTGCTCCCTGCCCAGTTTTCTGGCAGAGATCCTCGAGTCAATGTCATTAAGTGGCAGATGTGTAAGGTAAAGGTATTTGTTAGGTCAAAGTTGCCAATTTATGGCCTGGATCCTGAGCCTTCCTTATGTGTTCATACATGGGTTTGGCTTTCCACTAAGTGTGCACCTCACCCCTTGAAAAAAAAACAGGTTTCCCAGTTCTTCTTGCTCAGTATTCACATGGCACATCCTTTCTCTGCAGGTCCCTCTTTCCTTGGGGAGTGTCTCCTAACAGGCTCAGAGTGAGGTGGTCATAGATGCCACCCCCTTCCCTTTACTTACTAAAAACATCTCCCTGAAAAACGGGTAGGAAAATTGAGATCCACATCACCCTCTGGGAGTAACAAATCAAACATTCACCTCACCTCCTGACCTTGGGCCATGTTAGCTTTAGTTGTGGGTATTTCGGGGGAGTCGTGGATGGAGAGCTATGTTCCTGACACCCACCCATTTTGAAGCAGAAGACCCCACACCAGCTGCTTCCTTCTCATAGAGGCCCTGCTGTCCTTTGTTCCTTTGTGTTAATGGACTTTCTCTGATGGCCCCCTCCTCAAAGCTGATCTTTAGGAAGCATTTTTATGTGGGGTGCGGGGCTCTCTTTTCCAATCACCTTTCTGGAGACAGGTTTCTGATCAGATTCAAGGCCACATCCTCGGCACCTGGTTTATGTCTCTCAAACCATTATTGTTCCTGACAAACTGCAGTGGGTTCTGAGGCTACTGCTGTCATATTGCATTTTCTGACCATTTTCCAGGCCCCCCGGTGCACATTCAGAGACACACAAACATGCACACATGTAATGCACATACAGGGACACACTCCTCAAACCCCATGTGGTATCCAAGCAATTTATGCCCTCTAGGAAGCTAAGCCAGGACAGCACTGAAACACACAGGAGTGCTCAAAGGAGGTGCTCTGGATGCAAAGCTGGGGAACCTTGGAATAAGAGATGGAGGTGGGAAGACACCTCCAAATCTCTGCAGACTCTGAGGATGTGGCACACTCCAGTGGCTGTCAGGCCTGAGGGGTGGTGTCAGGGAGAGATGCATTTGAAACTGCTCAGCCCTGGCTCCCTAGGGTGGGGGTGGGGGAGTAAATAATGAGCTCCTTGTTGCTGGATAAGTACAAGCCAGGGTTGCACAACTCTTGATGGGGATGCTGTAGCAAAGAATTAAACCTCAAGTGGGTCACTGAATTGGGGCACTGAAAAGAAAACAGAAGAAAAAGGGGTGGAGTCGGAGTGGGGGAAAATGAAAGAACAAAATTGTAAAAGAGATAGGAGGGAAAACCAGAGGCTAGGCATCATTGTGTGCATGAGCTCAACCTGTGGCCAGAAACTGGAGCATCTGAGAGGGCTGGGTCTCAGAACCGTGCCCTTGGCCTCTAGCACCTACCCCTTCCACTACTGGGGCCTTAGGCCTGGCCTTGTCCAGGGAGCACAAGGTCTGGCTGAACTGTGCCTGTTTCTGTTAGGAAGCTCTGGCTCAGAAAAAGAAGGGGCTGAACCCTCAGCTGCCCTGTTCCTTTCCCAGTAAGCACCCAGGACTTCTGGAGGTCTCAGGAGGGTCCTCAATCCTGAGGGCGGGAAAGAACAGGGAGGAGGATTATGTTGGGCCCAAACTGCTGAGTCTGGCAGGTGGAACAAAGCAACGCTCTTCCTAAAGGAGGGTGTTCCTGGCAATGGGTGGGCTGTAGGGGCGAGGCTTGCACCGAGACCCGGACAGCACTCAGGTGGTGGCCCTTGAAGGAATTTTTCTCTAAAACAGTTACTGGTGTGAGAAAAGAGCCTGGCTCAGGCTCTGAGAAGTGTCACAGTCTCAACCAGGAGTCAAGCCTGGAGAGAGAACGGGATGCTGGTGGCTGACCTGGGCCAGTTAGGAAGACCTGATCCCATAGACAGGATGAGGAAGGAAAACAGATGGGAAGCAGGAGGCCGGTGGGGTCAGCAGGAAATCCTCATCTGTACCCCTCCTTGCTGTTTCTTTCCTCTTCTCCTTCCTGGCCACTTTCTACCCCTTGTGGGGGATTCAGCTAAAACATGTAAGCAGCCCAACCCCATTGCCTCGGGTTGGTCTGGAGCAGGGGGTCCACTCTTGGTTCCCCATTTCCAGGACTATTAAATCAGTGCACTTTCAGCCCTGACTCCATGTGCACCCTGCTCCCCACAGCTGTCCATGCATCACCCAGGGAGCACTCCCCACTCCCCCACAACACACATGCAGGGTGAGGAGCCAGCTCGTTCTGTGGAATCTGTGTCCCCGAGTTTCATCCTTTTTCTGTTCTCCATCTGCCTGCTCTGAAATTTGTGCCAGCCACAGCAGCCTTGTCCCTGCGAATCCCCTCTATCCCGTCCCCAGCTTCCTAGAGAGTTCCGTGGCTGGTGTCAGCAGAAAGGAAGCTGCTCACAGCTGCGCCCCCGTAAAGGGCTGGTGCACACACTCACGTGCAAGAGTGCACGCACACCTTCCAGAGGAACTCTCTGCTTTGGGGGCCTGGAGACATTCGCCTTTTCCACCCAGTCCCAGTCTCCTCACACCCAGGAGGTTTCACCCTTCCACCCTAGACTCAGGGAACAGAAGTGCAGGGTCAGGGCAGTCAGACAAACACGGAACCACAAAAAAGATCCCAAGGGGAGGTTCTTCCTTCCCTCACTCTCCTCCCTCATCCCCTAGACCTCCTCATTCTGCCCTCCTCCAAATGTCACCCCCCACAAAAGTCACCAGCCCAGTTCAAATTAATTGTTTTATTGACAGTGTACATACAGACGCATTTAGAAAAGAACGCGGGCTCCGGGGGATTACTCCACCCCGGGCCACGCTTGTGCTGCGCTTGGCCTAGAGAGCTGCTCCCAAGGCCTGAAACCCACCCGTGACGCTTTCCTGCAAAACCAACAAAGGAATCCCGCCCAGCCCCCGTGCCCCTTTCCCCCTCCCTCCCGGCCCTCTGCTCCCGCCCTCCCCCCTACACTACACGGTACAGACTTCTCCTACAGACCACGCTCGGATAGGACGACCCGCGGCAAACACGATTCTCAGGGAGGGAGGGGCGGGGCGGGGACAGAGCGGCTTCCCAGTCCCCCTCGCAGCAGGGAGAGGCTTTGTGCACTCCAGGGCGCCAGCCCCGGGAGAGACGCGGGCCCCGGAGCCTCTGTCGGCGTCCTGCGCCCGGGTTTGCTACCTGGGGGCGCGCGCCCCGGTGAGCTGCGGAAGCTGCTTTTGCGCGCGACCATCTCAGGCTCCCGCAGGACACGGGCGACGACATTGGCCGAGGGCCCCGCCAGGCCCCCTCTGCAGAACCGGGAAACACGGTCCCCGGGGGCTTTTAGTTAGGAGAGGGGCAGGAGAAAACGGATTCTTCTCCTTGCGCCTTGATACACCCACACCCAGTCTTTCAAAGGTTGGGAAGGAGGTGTTAGCACCAGACCCAGAATGTCACTGTCTTTTGAAAACAACGAAACAGGACACAACGTGGAACTCCAAGGCATCCTGGGCACCCGATTGGGTTCCAGCGGGGCAGAAGTGGGTTGGGGTGGGGTTGGAGGATTTGGCAAAAGGATTTGTTTTCCTGTCTGGAGGGGGGCTTTGAAACTAAAAAGTAGCCGGCTTCTGGTACGTGCAGCCCAGAAAAGGCAGGGTAGGGGTCGAGGTGAGACCCACGTGCTCCATGAAAGCCTGGGTGCCACAGTTACCATCAGACATTTCCAGTCTCCCCCTGGCTCCAGGGCGCACAGGTGGGCGGGCTCCGGGGCAGAGGCAGATTTCCAAGATTTTAATAGCCATAAGAATGGAGGGGCATAGGCTGCTCCTCGCCTCCAGCCAATGGTGCTTTGTGTGAGGAGGCCAAACCAGAACTGTGTGCTTGGGGGAAAAGGGGACTCAGCCCATCAAGAGAAAGACGCCCACCGGTGGCCAGAGACTGGGGAATTCGGCCCACTTCCTACTAGGAGTTCCCAGTGGCCACAACTGGGGAGTGGCGAAGGGGTTGAGGGCAGGGGGTGGGGGGATAAATTCTGCCAGCCCTAAGCTCCTGCTGCCAGGCACCCAAAGTGGGGTAGGGCGGCCGTTGGGCACGCTGAGGCTCAACCCGCTGTCTGCCTGTAGTTGCCATTGATCTCCTGCGCCAGGTTGACCGCCTCCGCGCCCAGCGGCAGCCGATCGCTGTACTCGGAGCCCGCCTCAAACTCCTCCTGGTTGGCCTTGGACTGCGATTCTGCCAGGGAGCAGGCGGCCAGGCTCTCCTCTCGCTGCAGGTCCCCTTGCGGGTCCCCCTGCTCCGGATCTTCGTCGAGCCCCTCCCCCGGGGCCTCTTCAGGCTCCTCGCCGCCCTCTCCGCCCCCCGCCTGGTAGCTTTTCTCCGACTCCAGGTAGGAGGCGCGGGGGTCGAAGTCGGCAGCGATGCGCTTCTCCATGGGGTCGGGAGCCTGCGGCCTCAGGATCAGGCGGTAGGGCTTGCCAGGGTGCTTGGCAAGCAGGTGGCAGCAGGCAGCGCCCAGAAGGGGCACGGTGGCCAGCACTAGCAGGAACACGCTCACCGCCACGATGACCAGCAGCGAGGGCAGCTCCTTCTTGGTGGCGAACACCACTTGCACGTGGCAGGCCTCGCCCGCCAGCGCCAGGCACACAGAGTAGTTGGTGCCAGGCTGCAGGCCGCGGAACCAGTATGCGTTGACGCCCTCCTCCACGCGCGACCACTGCACGGCCGCACCGCCCCCGGCCGGACACAGGTAGAGCAGGCGCAGGGGCCTCCGCCTGGGCCGCCCAGCTCCAGCAGCCCCTCCGGGCCCGGGGCTCCAGCGCGCTGCCAGCGGCGTCAGTTGCACCCGTGCCTCTCGCTCAGCCACATCGAGCGCGATGACGCCCAGCTCAAAGACGTGCGGCTTGAGCTCTGAGCTCTGGTTGAACGCGTGGTTGGACACATACCGAGAAGGGTCCCCGTGGCCACAGTGTTGCTCCTCCGCTGGGTTCACCGGGATCTGGTCTTCCATTTCGTCCCCTTCATCTGCCTCCTCCTCCAGCTCCGCTTCGGTCGCCCCCAGGACGCTGACTCGCGCCTGGTCCTGGCTTTTGGCTTTGCCCTCAGGTTTGGAGGGCAGGACGCTGTTGCCCCGGCCCTTGGCTGTGAATTTGCGCTCAGAGTTCGGAGCTTGCCTGTCGGGGTCTCCCTCCAGGCCGGGAGCGTGCTTCGGGGGCCCAGCGGCAGCCACTGCCACGCGTACTGACGTTGAGTTGGCTCCCAGCTCATTGTGCGCACGGCATGTGTAGAAGCCCGCCTCCTTGGCACTCAGAACTGGCACCAATAAAGAGCCATTTGCCAGAGCCAAGAAGCGCGGGGTGGCGGGGGGCGCGGGCCACACAGGTGCTGGAGTTGGGGTGGGGGCCTCTGTCTGAGTGGGAGCTTCTCCGTCTCCTTCCTCTTCCCCATCCTCTGCTCCTTCCACATCGTCCTCATTGCTCTGAACCGGCGCCTCTAAGACCACAGTTCCGCCCGGGATATGAAGTTGCCATTGCAGGCGGGGAGTGGGGTAGCCTTCAGCGACGCAGTGCAACGTGAAAGCCAAGCCGGCACGCAGAGGGGTGCCAGGCTCCTCGAGCGGGGGCTCCGCGCTCAGCCGCACGCTGGGAGGCGCACAGGGCAGGGCGGGCAGGCGGTGCACCGGCACTCCTTTCAGCGCGGGGGGAGAAGCGCAGGCGATGGAGTCGGGCTCTGGCAGCGAGACCCGAGTGCTGGCGGCCCAGGCCTGCAGCCACACTAGGCCACAGCCACAGTGGAAGGGATTGTGGTACAGCTGCAGGTGAGACAGCGCGCTGAGCGTGTCGAAGGTGCCGGGCTCCAGCGTGCGCAGCCGGTTATTGTTGATGCGCAGCGAGCGCAGGTCCGGCAGCGCCCCGAGCGCGTCCCGGGGCAGAGAGCCCAGTCGGTTGTGGTTCATTTTGAGCAGCTGAAGCGCGCTCAGGTTACGCAGGTCGCTCCAAGGGAAGTTGGAGATAAGATTGTGGCTCAGGTCGAGGTTCTTCAGCTGACTCAGCACCGCCAGGGCCCCCGGCTCCACCGTGCGAACCTCACTGTGCGCCAGCCACAGCGACGTGACCTGCGTGACGTTGGTGAAGGCCCCGCGCCTTAACACTGTGATCTTGTTGGCGGACAGACTCAGAGTGGTCACGTTGGCTGGGAGTCCTTCGGGCACCTCGCGCAGCTCCTTGTAGGCACAGTCTGCAAACTGGTGCGCGTACTTGTCCACGCAGGCGCAAGGCTCGGGGCACGCTCTGACCACTCCTAGAAGCGCCAAGGCCAGCCACGCGGCTCGAAGGGACGCCATCTCTGCTTTTGGGAAGGAAGGCGGGGGCGGGATGGGGGAGAGAGGGGAAAAGGTGACTTACCGAGCGAGCTCCAGCTTAGCGTAGATGCCAGTGAACTCCTCTATGCCCAAGAACTTCTTCTGGACGCCACTGGAGCTCAATCTAAGTCTCAGGATTCTCTGGATGCTCCCCCTCAGGACCTCGCCTTCCTCTTCCGGAAGGTGAGGCCCATGCTCTTTTCCCTACCTACTCCTCCCCCTGTAGCTGTGCCTCCATCCGCTGGCCAGTCGCTGATCTGCAGTGGGTTCCACACTGACCTCTCTGTGTTTCTGTCTTCATTTAACCCGGTAAGATGGATACACAGAAAGGATGCTTTTATCTGGCTGTCCTCTCTGGAACCCTTTGTCCCACCCAGGCATATAACAGCACAAACAGAAGCTGTGGCACGGCCAACAGCCCCCACCTACAGGACCTGTGGTACAGGTCCCCCACCTACAGGACTAGGTTCGAAGTGCGTTTCACAGACAGACACACAGGGACCCGGACCCCATTGTTCTTAGAACTGAACCTAGCACTCGTACAACGTTTTCCAGCACGGTGCAGAGCACTTTCCTGTTCATTATGAGAAGCAACCCATGCACAAGGACATGGGAGCTACTTTCTGTGCACACAGCCCTCCTCTGAGCCTGAAATCAGAGCAGAGGAGCAATACAGAAGACTGGCCCCACTCACAGACCTTTCTCCACCCTCGGTGAAGTCGCTTGTCCCCAGGAAAGAGGCAGGGCTGCTCTGGGGAGAGAAGCTGCCCCCCATGCCTGGAAAAGATGTGTTGTGGAGACAGTCACTGTCACCAAAGCTTTCCTCTGGGGTCCCACAGAGCTCAGGCAGCTCCTGGGGTGAGGGACATAGAGGGGTCCCCAGCAGACAGGTGAGGGGACAGCTACTAGCTAATGAAGCTGGACAAGGTTCAAGATTCTGCAGCATCTCCATTGCTCCAGAATCCCAGAGAGACTCCACGAAACCTCATTCCGGCCACACACAGACTCCCTCCCCCTTGCAGGTTTGGCAGAGCCCCTCCCAACCCTGTCTGTGGGCTCCCGTGACCCCTTACTGCCTTTGCTCCGGGGGGGGGGGACATCCCTTCCCAGTTCCTCCCGAGGGTGGGTGGGGTGCTGGAGGCTGCCTCTGCCCCACCCCCATCCCGCTGAGGCGCTCACCCAGCCCTCGAAGCTGACCGGGACTCAGCCTTCGGGCGGCAGCCCCTTCTCCAGACTCGATGACAGCCCAAGGGCGCTTCACGCATCTGTTGCTTCGCTGCAGGGAGAACCGGGTACGGGGGCGCAGAAGAGAGACAAGTAAGTTTTGAGGACTCCCCTGACCCCGAAGACCCACTTCAGTCTTTCCCGGCGTTGGGTCCGTTTGCCTCACTTCTACCCGGCTGCAGGTTGGAGTCCTCGCGCGCCTCCGGGCTCCGCGGGAACGCGCACAGCCTCTCCCACCTCCTGCGACGTCTTCGTTTGTGAAAGCCGTAGAGACCCTCCCCGAGAGGCGTTGTCGCCAGAGGAGCCACACGTCCACCGCCCCGGCTCGGCTCTTCCCAGCCCACTGCACCCCAAGTCCCACTTCCCCCTACATTTACACACTCGCAGGCACTGCCACTGCCCCTCATCACAGTTACCCCCACACGCACAAACGCATTTCACACAATCGACCTTCCAGCGTTAGAATTGTCCATCATCCTGAAATAATCGAGTCGATGTGTCGCGCTCTTGCTACGTTCACACGCATTTTCACAAGCACACCTTCGTCGGCACGCTCACCCCGCGCGTTTCGCACCGCACACCCATTCATGTTCACTCACCCTCGCGCGCCCGTCCCGCCAGCTCCCGCGAGGTACGCTGCTAATTGAATACGAGCCGCTTTTACGCCCAGCAACACGTGAGACGAACCATCTTTGAGGAATTTGGGAGCAGGCGTGGCGCACAACGGAAGGGAGGGGGGCGTGTCTCTACCTTTAAACACTTCTGCAAATACAGACGTTGGCACCGAAAGACTTCAGCGGACCAGAGGGGCTGTCCACAGCCTGGCTCGCTCGCAAGGTTCCCTTCTGCGCTCCTGCTAGCCGCCTCCTCCCCGAAGCCACGTTCCACACTATGCATAATTGATAGTGTTAGCAGAGCGCCTGGCCCTCCCTGCCATTTTTGCCTGGATCTGGGCAGATTCAAGCCCTATTCTCCCCTCACCCTCCACCCTCGCCAGACGAAAACGCGCAGCCCTGCAGGGCGCTCCGGGAAGAGCCGCCCCTCTCCCCAGCGCACCGCAGCCCTGCCCGGCCAGAATTCTTTACGTCTGGCCTTTGTGGCAAAGTCAGCCCTTGCAGCCCACGGTCCACAGCGCTACCGCGAGGAGAGGTGGGGCGCCGTGTCACCCAGGCACCCCACTGTCAGTTCCTGGCGAATGGGGCACTGGAGCTGCAGGGGATAGTGGCAGGGACAGGGCTCGGTACAAAACGTCTGCTCTTCTTGAACACTGTGGGAGGAGGACGTAAGATTTTAACATTTGCACCCCCACACACTCCCGCCAGTATCTTCATAGCCTCTCTAGCGCGCGCGCACACACACACACACACACACACACACACACTGTCCCCCAAGTGTGATGGCACGCCACCACCCCGCTGTCTCACACCCTCACACAACAGCTGGCCTCAGCAGATTCAGGACTTGCTGTTCTCGACTCTCCCTATCTGGCAAAACCAGACACTTGATCTAGCGACAGGGAGGTGGAGACACAGGGATGTCGAGGCATTTGGCTAAAACCCCTTCGGGCCTTGGTGCTGCCTACAGCAGCCCAAGAGACAGAGCTGCTGGCCAGAACCAGAAAGGGGTTTGGGCTCCTGGAGAACCAGAGCCTCAGCTCCTTGTCCCTTTTGTAGACATTGGGATCTCGGGCACGTGAGCCCCCTCCCCCCCAGCCCACGCCCAGGCGGGTGGGCGAAGGTCTCACTTGGCAGTCAATAGTGCGCAGGTTTGGGACCTCTGCAGAGATCAATATCCCTATTTGAGTGTTAAGCATTTTAATGAGCCCAGGAGGGGGTGGGGGAAAGAGACTGGGTGCTGCGTGGTGCATTTCAAGAGACCACCCAGCCAGCTGGGGTTCTGTGGCTCCTTTGTAAATTAAATACGTACAGACTGGGCAGGCACACTCTCAGCCCCTCCCTCTGTCCTATTCCTCCGGTGGCTGCGAGCTGCAAGGCGCCAGGCGAGCTGGAACCAACACATCTCAATCAGCCAAGTTCTGAACCCAGAACATCACTAACCGGCTCAGGCCTGCGTCCCCACAGCCTACCTCAGGGGAGACTGCTGGGGCACCCTTGAAGAGAAGGTGTGGAGAGCGCAGGACTGGCCAGGCCTGGGGACCCTACAGCAGTCCCTAACTTAGGTACGAGATCTGAGGTTTGGGCCTGGCTGGGCCAGGGCGTGGTGTGAATGGCGGGCCAGGCTGGGACACCTTTGTCTGCAGAGCGGGGTGGGGAGGAGCATCCTGGGTGGGTTGTCGCCTCCTGGCAATCTTGAGGGGTGGGCCTGGGAACCTTCCCCACCAGAGGGATTCAAGGGGACAGATGCCTGGCAGTAGAACCAGGACTTTCTGGGCCTCCAGAGGGACACAGGTGTGAGGACAGACAGGGAGGCTCCAGGCCGGGAGCTCAGGGCTAGCAGACCCTCTTCCGATTCTCACCGCTGTCTAGTTCTCTTTGCTTTCTGCGGGAGGCCAGCGGGCCAAGGGATAACTTGGAAAGAGAGAGGAGAAGACAGAGTCTGGGGACTGATTGAAGAATGGGCTTCCAGCTCTCAGCTCAAAGCTCCCAGGACCACAGGGGCCCTGTCTGCCCGCCTCCGGGAAGCCTCTCTGTGCCCCCTTTTTTCTTGCTCTCTTGCTAGGGACGCAGGAGCTGGGGGTTCGGTGGAGGAGACAGCGCCTAAGGTGCAGGAGAGAGGTGGCTAAGAGCGAGGTGGCCCCCCGGGCACAGGCCCCATCCCCGCGGCTCTGGGCGGCGCGTGCTGTCTTTTGCAAGCTTTTTTCTGTTCCCCGATCCTGCCCCTGGGGACAAACACCCCTTACCCCAGCTTTTGACCTGCAGAGCCCTACGCCCGTCCCGGCGGGGCTGGAGCCCGAGTCGCCCCTGTGAGAGCCGCGACCTCAGTTTCCGCCCGCGAGCTGAGCTGGAAAGCAGCGCGCGCCCCCAACGCGCGGGAGCCGCAGGGTTGCGGCTTCGGGGCGACGTTCACAAGGATACAGTTACTGCAGGCCGAGAACAAGGACCCCACCCCCGCCGCCGCCTTCGCCTCCGATCGTTAAAGAAACAGGCATCTAATCAGCTGTGTGGACGCAGAGATGGGAAAGCGGGAATCCCAGGTTCCAAGGCGCAGAGCACAGGGCCACAGATTCAGAAGCTGGCGACCCCGGCTTAAGCTTTTCTCCAGGCTTGGGGTCCTGAACCCAGACAGAGCCCAGGGCTGCTTTTCCCAGATTAACTTCCGACATTAACCTTGTGGACGCGGAGGGCCGGGAAGGTGCGAAGGGTTGAAATCTGCAGGATGGGACTTGCTAAATCCTGGGCTCCCCTTGCGCTCAGGTCTCTAGCCTGGTCCTGATCCGCTCGCGACACCTGCTGGACGCCGCTTTCCGGGCTCAGAGGCGGGTGGGGACCAGGCCCCGCTCTCCGCTCCAGTGGGGCGCGCTCTCCGTGCCCACTCAGCCTAAATCTCAGGATCTTCAACCTTCCCTCCCCTCCAATCGCAAGGATGCTGTTTCGCGTGCGTGATAGTCCCAGCTCGGAGAGCTCACGAGCACCCCCTGAAGGCTCCTTAGGAGAAAGCTCGTTGTGCCCTCCACACTCACAGGATTAGGACAGGTTCTAGGATCAGACTCCATCATGTACCAGCTGTGCAACCCTGGCCAAGTTACTCAACCTCTCTGTGAATTAAGAAAAAAAGGGCATAAATTAGAGAACCTAAGTTCAAGGTCCTTGTGAGGATTCAGTCAGTCAAGGTATGCAAGTGTGTGGCACTTCGTGCTCAGGAAAGGAGCTGTTTGCCACAACTGCTGAATAGAATTTGCTGGTATTATTACCTTGCAGAGCTGGGGGCAGGAACAAGGAGGAGGGCAGGGTGCGCCTTTATGCTTCTGTCTTGCCTTCTCCAAGGTTAGGAACTCAGCTGCGGCCCCACGCATCTGTTTTCACTCTCCTGCACACACAGACACTGTTGAGATAGGCAGCAGCCACAATTATTATTAATAAATGATAATAGTTGCTGGAGTGGCGGTGCACACCTGTGCTCCCAGCACTCGGCAGGCTGAGGCAGGAGGATCTCTGTGAGTTTGAGGCCAGCCCGGGCCCCACAGTGAGTTCAAGGCCAGCCTTGAACATAGTGAGACTCTGTCTCAAAACAAAAACAAAATAAAAATAGTAAGAGTAAATACTATTTACAATTATTGTTTGTAATGGTTTCCTGTTTCGGATACTTAAACTTGTCACCAGCATGCCTGCTTGGAAAGAGGACCTGCAGCTGCAGACATGGTGGAAGGTTTTTAATTAAAACCACATTCTGTTTAAGTATTTATTGGGCTCTTCGAGTTTAATTATTTCCTAGGGGAGAAACAAAACAACAGCTCCACCTCTGCTTCTGGGAAGGAAGACTGTTGCTTTCCAAGGGAAGCTGCAACCTGTGGCTGTTTGCTGGAGGCAACCAGGAGGAATCTTCTGAAAGGTTCAGATGCAGCACAACATTAATAACCCTGGCCACAGCCAGCCACCTTCCTCCCCGTGCTTCTGTGAAATTAGCTGAACATGCTAGCAATGCCGTTTATTGCCATCAGAATTAATGACAGCTCTTAGAGTGGCAGCTCACATAATTGTGCGGCCTGTGCTCATCTCGTGGAAGTTGGGGCATGGCCAGGAAGACACAGGGCTCCTGTGTGCAAGGGAAACACACTCATGGGTACATTCCTGCCCCGCCAGGCTGGGGCCCCAGTGAAGAGGTCCTGAGGCTGCCAGCCCCAAGCAGCAAGACTAAGCATGGCAGAGCTGGGACAGTGTGGTGTGGGAGGATGGGGGGCCACACAGCCTCCACCTACAAGTAGCAAAACCCCACTCAAATTGTGGAGAGTAGTGAGCTAGCAAGTGAGCACCTCACCTGCAGGGTTCTGCCAGCCTGGCTTCAGAGCGGGATGATTCAGCGATTCAGCGGCTCACGGACAATGACAGTCCCAGATGCATTCTTTTTCTCTCTGTCATTAAAAAAAAAAATACTGGGATTTGAACCCAGGGCCTTCACGTGGAGCTACATCTTCAGCCTTTTTTAAATGACTTTTTTTTTTTAGACAAGGTCTCATTAATTTGCTAAGTTGCCCAGGCTGGACTGGAACTTGCAATCCTCCTGCCTCAACCTCTCAGAGTGCTGGGATTGCAAGTGGGAGGGGTAGGGGAAAGGAAAGAAGGGAAAACAAAAAAATACAAGAAAAGGAAAAAAGGGCTGGGGATTTAGCTCAGTGGTTTCGCCGCCTGCTGGGCAAGTGATCCCTGGTACAAAAAAAGGAAAAAATGGAAACAAAGTCTTTGTAAATAGGGAAGGGTGGAGGGGGTGAAGGGAGGGCAGGGGAATGGGGAAAAAATGGGAACCAAGATACGTCATGTAAAGCACAAGATCCCAGTGATGAATGTAACTGTATTGTATACCTAAAACGTACCAATAATCTTAATGAAAAAACAACAACAAGAAGTGTGTGCCATCATGCCTGGCTGCTCTGTCACCCTTAGGGTGACAACCTGTGACTTGTGTCCCTTGATGCTGGACAAATTCAGCAGCAGTAGGGATGACATGCTTATCACTGACAGACTAGTGGGATAGAGAGATGAATTCTCTTTCCTGATTCCAGAGCCTCTCCTGGGGACTTACTGACACTTCCTGGCTTTGGACACCACATCCCTGAGCCAATCACTGGCCGGGGGATGGAATCTATTGGCTTAGAAAAACCTAGTCCTGAAATGGATGTTGAAATTCCATCCCAAGATTCCCTGCAAGCAAGATCACTTTCAGACAGCAGGGTTGGAGAATGCATGTTCAGAGTATCCTAGTATTGTATCAAAATGAATTGAAGCCTGGCACGGTGGTGCGCACCTGTCACCCCAGCACTTGGGAGGCTGAGGCAGGAAAATTGCCGCAAGTTTGAGGCCAGCCTGGGCTACATAGTTCAAGGCCAGCCTGGAGTACATATTGAGACCCCCATCTCAAAAATGCACAACAACAAATGAAAAAAATTGTGGTGAGAGTGGCCATAACATAATGAACCAGATGCTCTACCTCCTTGCATGGAGATGAGGCCAGGCAGGCACAGGCTGGGGTTGGGGCCAGGGCGGTGTTCAGGGAACTCTTTCTGCTGGCACACACCCCAGAGAATCCTCCGCTTTCACAGAATTCTTGAAAGGACTCCAATCTGTTCTTGGAGATGCCTGCGCTGAGACACAACACTATTTTGGGAGTGGTGGAAGCTGCAGCCGTTAGTTGGGTATTTAAAAGCAGGACGTGTCTGTGAGCTCAAAGATGTTCCTTGGTGATGTGACTTCCCATCCTGAGTGCGTCCCAAGGAGGGGAAGGGAGGTGCGGTGCTGTCAGCTGGAGCCGGGAGGAAGGAAGCTACCTGGGTCTCACAGAGGATGCGGAGGCAGCATGACTAGAGGAGACCACACAGGCTTGGAGCCTGTTGCGGCTGTGACTGAAATGTCCCCAAAAGGCCCAGTGAGCCGAAGGTTTGTTTGATGGAAGGCTTTTGAAGTAACTGATCATGGGGGTTCTAACTTCATCAGCAGATTTTTTTTAAACACTGGGGATTGAACCTAGGGCCTTTGCACTGAGCTCCATCCCCAGCCCTCTTTTATCTTTTATTTTGAAACAGGGTCTCACTAAGTCACTAAGTTGCCCATGCTGGTCTTGAATTTGGAAGCCTCCTGCCTCAGCCTCCTTGAGTGCTATGATTACCCACATCCCCCACCAGGCCTGGCAGGATCAATCCACTGAGGGATTTATAATTTGATGGCATGTTGGGGAAATGATAGAAACTGGAGGTGGGGCCTAGTTAAAGGGAGTGGCTCATGAGGGTTCGATTTGGAGGCTGTCTTGTCCCTGGCCCCTTCCTCTCTGGTTTCTACTCCATCTCTCTACTTCCTGCCCCCATGAAGCAAATGCTTCTCCCCCCATGCCCTTCCACCATGATGTTCCTCCTTGACCTCACACCAATGGGACCAGCCAAGTGTGGACCGAAACCTTTGAAACCATGAGACCAATTACACCCATCCTTCTTTAGGCTGCCTTCGTCAGGCATTTTGTTCAGCGATAGGATGCTGCCTAATGGAGCTCCGGGCCTTGAGCCAGCCTCCTCAGCCTCCCACTCTGCTCCTGAGATATCCACACCAGCCACGCCAGTGAGCCAGGAGGTGGCTGCAGACACAGCTGGGAAAGGGGCAGGATCCATCCACCTTGGAGCCACTTTCTGGGCCACATCCACCTTCTGAGTCAAATCTTAGGCCAGGACCAATGGGAACGGGTACCCAGGTAACAGCTTACACACAATGAGCCCCTGTGCATGTGCCTGGGGTGAACCTAGCCACAATTACCAAGCCACTGACTATGCAGATTTGACCCCCACCTCCCCAAACGGTGGGCTTTGGCTGCCCTGATGGTTTCTCCAAGGGCCATAAAGGCCAAAAACTGTGCTGCCTGACAGAGGGGCCGAGTCAAGCCGATCATTGGCAGGCGTTGTACCTCAGACCCCTCAATCTCACTCTTGCCCTAAGGATTAAAGCCCCCTTGGGACTGTGAGTTCTTCTCACTGGCTGCTCCCACCCTGTGCAGTGGATCTTGTCTTTTCTCTTTCAAATAAATTATGAGCCAGGCAAAGCAGTGCACACCTACAATACTGACACTCTGGGAGGCTGAGGCAGAAGGATCTCAAATAAATCACTGATTCTATGACAACTTTTGGGTGTTCTGCTCAATTCTTTGTAGGATATCAAGGACCTGGACAGGACCCCAACCAGATAACACCAGGACCATGGACTAGAGGTGACCTAGTCCCTGACAATGCTGCCCCTCCAGACCCTTGTTCCTGGGTGCTGTGGCTTTAGGGTGAGTGGGCTTCTTGGGCCA